AGATTGTTCATTGCTCTTTCCTCAGTGCCTGGAACATGGTACCCAATCAATAAATATTTCCTAAATGAGTAAAGGAATTTTCTAAGTGAATGAATGAATGAGCGGTTATGATGACTGAGCTGTAAGTTTAGCCCCAAGCCCCCTGGTGGCCAAAGCAAAAAGGGAAACAAGATTAGTTACATTCTCTGTGAGGATGAAGGGCTTTCCTGGTGGCTCAGAGGTAAAGAATCTGCCTGAAGTGCAGGAGACCCAGGGTTGGATCCCTGGGTCGGGAAGATCTCCTGGAGAAGGAGATGGCAAGCCACTCCAGTATTCTTGCCTGGGAAATCCCATAGACAGAGGAGCCTGGCAGGCTACAGTCCATGAGGTTGCAAGAGTCGGACATGACTTAGGGACTAAACCACAACCCACCACAAGATGACACACACACATACACAAAGAGATGGATTAAGCAAAATTTGTAAACATTTATGGGAACATTTAGGAGACTATCTTCATGACCTTGAGGTATGGAAGGATTCTTAAACAAGACAGAAATGTACAACTGCAATAGAAAAGAAGGATACATTTGGCAACATCTGATTTTAGAACTTGTCTTCAACAAAATCTGCCAGAAAAAAGATGAAAAGACAAGTCAGGCAAGAACACTGTGATGTTCACATATGACAGAGGATGTATATCTGGAATACATAAAGAGCTCTGAGAAATCAACAAGAAAAAGGTAAATATCCCAGCAGAACAGGCAATTCATAGAAGAAGAAACCCAACTGGCCAACAGATTTTGGCAAAGATGTTCAGCAGATGAATGCAGGTTAAATTCATTTTACACTCACCAGATTGGCAAAAACTAAACAGTTCAGAAAAATCATCATATGTCAGCAAAACATGGACATCCTCTGCATGCAAAGGAGTATGGATTGGTAATACCACTCAGTGGAACACTTTGACAATGTCAAGGTTGAAGGCAAACACCATGCAGGTCTGCAATTTCTCTCCTGGGTATATACCAACAGTAAACTATGGCCCTTGGGCCACTTCAGGCTACACCTGTTTAGGGAAATAAAGTTTTATTGGAACACAGCTATGTCCACTTATTTACATACTGTCTATGGCTGCTTTCATGCTACAATGAAAAGATGGAGTAGATGCAACAGCAGCCATCCCACAAAGTCAAAAATATTCACTCTGACTGCTTCGTACAGGAAGTTTGCCAACCTCTGCTCTGGGTCACTGCTTCTCAAACTTCAATGTGCATACGGGTCTCCTGGGAATCTTGTCAAAACACAGCTTCTGACTCAGCAGTTCAGGGAGGAGCCTGGGACTCTGCATTTCTAACAAGCTCCCAGTGATCCTGATGATGCTGGCTCATGGGTCATGACTTGAGTGTCAGGGATCCAGGTGGCACAGTGTTCCGCCAAGATGTTCAAGATTATGTCTGTGAACCCTTACAGACAAAGCAGAGAAACGTGGCCTCATCAATATCTTCAACTCATTTTATCTCTGCCCCCAGCAGTCACCAATCAGGTTGGCAGAAACTTTCATTCAATATCTGTTGCACATTCAATATGAGCCAGGCACACCCGAAGCAGGAAGGGAATCTCATGCATTGATAGCCGAAGAAATCTCCCCAGCCTACAAGGATGACTGGAAGAGGAAACATAACATGTGGTTGCACAGTGTCCTAAAATCTGGTCCCCAATTCAATCCCATGGTTACAGACATGAACCAAGGGGCCCATGGATGCCCCAGGGTGGAACATGGCACTGGATAGTTCCTACAGCAGCAACTCCCAGGAAGCCACAGGGAAGGCTGCAGCTGCCCACTGGCTGTCAGAGGGTAGAGGCCACACCTATGGCCCCAGAGCCCGTCAAATGAGTAATTGACATGTCTTGGGTGAACAGTTTAGACATTTGTGCAAGTTTCCACTTGCAAACACTTCAGTGTGGAATACTTCTTCCCTCATCCAATTCCTGTTTGACACACAGTAGGAGATCAAAAAAATATTTCTTGAAAAAAAAATATGTATTTGATGAATGAAGAAATTCATATTCAGTCCCAACAGCCATCATATATAAATGGCATTAACAAAAAAATAGTAAAGAGCCAGGTCAGGGTGAAGGGAAATAATTTTGAAGAATGAGAGGACATTTCCCCTGAAGACAGCACTACTCTGGGGTTGGGAGCATAAGTGCTTTCTAAAAAGGAAAAGAAGAGAGAGGAGTTAACATCTGTCAAACACTTGTGTATGAAGTGCTATGCACACAGTAAATGAGATTTAATCTTCTCAAACCATCTGAGGTAGGTGTGGTGATCTCTACTTTGGAGAAGAGGAACCAGAGGCTTCACAGGCCACCTCCAAATAGAGGGAGGGGTGGGGGAGGGGATCTGAGTGGTCCCCTGGGGTAAGAATAGGACCAGAGGTAGAAGTCTGCAAGCAGTGGGTTCTGGCTCTAGAGAAGGAATGGTAATGGGATTTTGAAGGGAGTGAGTTCTCCATCCCTAGAGGAATTCAGGTAGAGACTGGATAACCACTCATCACTAGATTCTTGGAGCCCCTCCTGATGTTGAAATTCTATGACCTGTTTTAGGTAGATCCTTCTCTGGGCTTTTCCAACTGGAGCTGGAAGGTTAAAAGGGACTTGAATGATCCAAGGGCCGCCAACCCCTATTCCCCTGAGTACACGAGGTGTGAGTGAGCAGGGCTCAGACACTTCAGACACACCAGGTGAGTGGACTCACCAAGAGGAAGCACCAAACTACCCACATCTCCCAGAGGTGGTATGGTATGCCCTGACTTCCTTCTTCTGTCTGCTTGTTAGCATTTTTTAACATTTCTAGAGCCAAGCCTGCATTTAAGGCCTCTATGCATGATCAGCCACAACTATGTGGCATCTTTGTGTTGAGAGCCAACTTCTCTGCACCCCCAGTCTATCCCTTTCTAACAGTGGGCTCTGGCTAAGAAGGGAACAGGCTAGAGCTGCCACTTCCAGGCAGCCCTCCTTCCTGCCTCCTCAGGATGTTTTGGGAGATGTAAGTTTCCAAGCCCAGGATGTGTACTGGGGCTGAGAGGTCTTCTAGGGTACAAGTAGCCAAAGAGAGAGAGAAGACTAACATACACACCCTTAGACACTGAGGGTCTGTTCCAGAGGCTCAGGCTGTGACTCAGTGAACAGAGGAAGCCACCTGAACTGGGTAAGTCTGACATCCACACCAGGTGGTAAGTACACACACCCGCCCCTGCAGGAAGTGAGGGGTCAGACATCCTAAGATGTTACCTCCTCCTTCAGTATGGCCCTCAGTATGTCTGTTCCCAGTACCCACCATCCCCCTAGAATAGGAACCCCAAAGCCAGAAATGTGTTCTCATGCTTGTTACTAAGCTGGGCACTATGAATTGTAAACAAATGAGTGAGAGAATGAATGAATGATCAACTGAGCACATGAATGAGTGATTAAATGTATAAAAGAATCAATGAATGGATAGACATATGGGTAGGTAGATGAATGGATGAATGGATAGGTGTGTAGATTCACAGCAAAGTGATTGGGTGGATAGATCAATAGATCTAAGGATGGATAGATGGGAGGAAGGGAGGGAGAAAGCGAGGATAGGTGGGTGAGTTGATGTGATTAGATGGCTGAGTGTTTAGATGAATGAATAGACAGAAGGATGGAAGGAAGGAAGGATGGACGGATAGATGGATGGACAAATGCATAGATGGGTGGAGAGATGAATGGATTGGTGGGTATATGGATAGATTGATGCATGAATGAAAGGTAGGATGGATAGGTGGGTGGGTGGATGGGTGGACAAATGCATAGATGGGTGGATGGATGAGTGGACAGATGGACACATGCAAGGATCAGTGAATGGATGGGAGGGTAGACAGAAGGATAGATGGGTGGATGGACTGATGGATGGATGGATGAATGGACAAATGGAAAGAGGAAGAAAAAGTGACTACCCAAAACATATTTCAGGCTTGGACAAATGCATAGATGGGTGGATGGATGAGTGGACAGATGGACACATGCAAGGATCAGTGAATGGATGGGAGGGTAGACAGAAGGATAGATGGGTGGATGGATTGATGGATGGATGGATGGATGGACAAATGGAAAGAGGAAGAAAAAGTGACTACCCAAAACATATTTCAGGCAGAATAGGAACCATGGTATGACCCAAGGTCCCACAGACTCTCCTCTTAAAAGTCTGGTCTGAACACTAAAAAGTGGATTCTACCCCCAGCCTTGCCCAGTATTTAGAGCTGGGTCAAAGCCAAGCCACTCATACTCCCAGACAAACCCACGATCAGTCCCCACTACACCCTTGCAGGCCTGGCCTTGCCCAGGGGAAGCTTTCATATGGGGCTCCCGCCACCCTCCCAGACCCAAGGTTCTCTGCTGGAAGCTCGGGACTTGATTCGCAATTTGTGGGGCAGGGAGGCCTGAGCCAGATCCTCTCGGGGATGGTTCTCAGGGACCGGGCAGGCCACTCTGGGAGGCAACCCCATGGGATCAACACCAGGTGTCAGCAACACCTCCGAGGACCCTGAGGCCCGGCACACGGTGGGTATGGGTGACCACAGCCCCCAGCAGGGCCTGAGCTCTGGTCTGGGGCCCCCATGCCTATCCAGGAGGTGACAGCTGAAGAAGGCAGCTGGCAGGGCAGCCTGCAAGGCCATGTCCACTCTTTTGGAGGCAGGGTCCGGGAGAGACCTGGGGGGAGTGGCCAGGCTAGTCCATCTGTGAGCCACTAGGCAGCGCCAGCATCCTGGAACCCCAGCGTCCAGGGAACACGGTCTCAAGAGGCAGCCGTGGGAGCCAGGTAGAGTCGGGGTCTGATCAGCCCTAGGACTGGGGTCCCCAGGCCAGGGGGAGTCCCATAGCAGAGTAGGCAGGGTCCGGGTCCCACCCGTGTTGGGCAGGAGGCCAAAGCGATGCTTGAGCGCTCGCAGCTCAGCCCTGAGCAAAGCGTTCTCCTCGAGCAGGGCGGCCAGCCGGCCCTCCAGGGCCGCGTCATTGAGACGGCGCTTCTCGCGGGATCTCTTGGCCGCCTCGTTGTTCTTCCGGCGCTTCTCCCAGTAAACCGTGTCCTTCTTCTCTTCCGGCATGAACTCCCGCTGCCGGCGCACGGCCGGACCTCGGACCCGCGCTCCCGGCAGAGTTTTGCGGTGACCCTGCGGTACATCCGGGAGGACCAAGAGACCCACATCCATGGTCGCCTGGGAGCCCTGGGGGAGAAAAGACGAATTCTTGGACTAGAAGCAGGAAACTGCCCTGAATGAGTCCTTCCTCTAATTTATCCTGTATCTCCACCACCCCCAGGGGAGGGGCCCAGGATAGAGTGGAAATTGGGCTGGAGAGCTGGGTGGAGGCAGAAGGACTCCACCCAGGAGTGTAGCAGAAAGAGTGGGGAGCTGATGGGATGGTTTGATGTCTGAGGGAGAAGTGGGTGAGGCTGCCAGAGAGCAGAGATTTCTGGCTTAAAAGGAAGCCACTGGAATCAGGGAGAGTAGGTTGGGGCCCATATCCTCAGGAAGATGGAGGCTCCTTCCCAGGAGTTCTTACCACTGAGGAGGTCAGCACACAAGCCAAGGGCTCAGTTCAATCTGAGCTCCAGCGTAGGATTCTTGGAGACCCAGAGAGACATAGGAGGAAAGCCAAACCTAGAAAAAGAGAATGTGTGTCCATGGAGTTAAACTGAGCCAAGGTGGGGTCAGAAGATAAGCCACTACTCACCTGAAAAGTGCCAGGGTTGTACACCAAGATCTCCATCTGCAGCCAGAGGTTTCCACCTGCCCATCCACCCTACTTATATATATTCATAAGGTCTTCTATTCACCCACTCACTCATACACCCTTCACCGACCTACCTAGCCAACTCCCATTCCATCCATTCATCCCTTCATCCACCAACCACCATCTATTTATCCATCCATCCCTGTCCCATCACNAAAACAGTGACAGATTTTATTTTCTTGGGCTCTAAAATCACTGCGGATGGTGACTGCAGTTATGAAATTAAAAAATGCTTGCTCCTTGGAAGGAAAGCTATGACAAAACTTCACAGTGTGTTAAAAAGCAGAGACATCACTTTGCCAGCAAAAGTCTGTATAGTCAGAGCTATGGTTTTCCCAGTAGTCATGTACAGATGTGAGAGCTGGACCATAAAGGAGACTGAGTGCCAAAGAGTTGATGCTTTCAAATTGTGGTGCTGGAGAAGATGAGAGTCCCTTGGACTGCAGGGAGATCAAACCAGTCAATCCTGAAGGAAATCAGTCCTGAATATTCATTGGAAGGACTGATACTGAGGCTGGAGCTCCAATACTTTGGCCACCTGATGAGAAGAGCCGATTCATTGAAAAAGACCCTATGCTAGGAAAGATCAAAGGCAAAAGAAGAGGGAGGTGGTAGAGGATGAGATAGTTAGATAGCATCACTGACATCATGAACATGAATTCCATCTTCATGGATATGAATTTGAGCAAACTCCAGGAGATAGTGAAGGACACCCATCCATCCCCCATTTGACTGTACAATCCTCTATTTCCTGCCCACTCACTCATCCATCTGTCAATTCATTCACTGTTAGCTTTATTTTTAAAGTAATATTGTGCCTACAGGAAAAACAAAAAATAGACAAACTGGACCTCACAAAAATGTTTAAATTTTGCACAATAAAGGACACTATCCACAGAATAAAAAGGCAACCCACAGAATAGGAGAAAATATTTGCAAATCATAAAGCTGATATAATTTGCAGATTACATAGGTATTTGTATCCAGAATATATAGGAAACTCCTAAAACTCAACAACAACAAACACCAAACAACTCAATTCAAAAATGAACAAAGGACTTGAGTAGACATTTCTCCAAAGAAGCTAAATAAATGGCCAAAAAGCACATGAAAAGATACTCAGTATCACTAATCATTAGGGAAATGAAAACCAAAACCACAATGAGATCCCACCTCACACCTCCTCAGATGACTACAATCAAAACAGCAGAAAGTAGCAAGGATTGGCCAGGATGTGGAGAAACAGGAAATTTTATGAACTGCTGTGGGAATGTAAAATGGTATAGCCATTGTGGAAAACAGTATGATGGTTCCTCAAAAAAAAAAAAAATTAAAAATAGAATTACCACATGATCCAGCAATTCCACTTCTGGTTATACCTGCTAAGTCATTTCAGTCGTGTCTGACTTCTTGTGACCCCATGGACTGTAGCCTGCCAAGCTCCTCAGTCCATGGGATTTTCCAGGCAAGAATACTGAAGTGGGTTGCCATGCCCTTCTCCAGGGGATCTTCCCAATCCCAGGTATCGAACCACCCTCATCTCTTACATCTCCTACATTGGCAGGTGGGTTCTTTACCACTAGCACCACCTGGGAAGCCCACTGGATATATACCTAAAAGAATTGAAAGCAGGGTCTCAAAGAAACATTTGTACACCCATGTTCGTAGCAGCATTATTCATAATAGCCAAACGGTGGAAGTAACCCAAGTGTCCATCAACAGATGAATGGATAGGCAGTCCATCCAAACTGCAGAATGTTGTCCAGCCTTTAAAAGGAAGGAAATTCTTAAAAGGAGACCCTGCTTTCAATTCTTTTGGGTATATATCCAGTGTATAAGGCTTCCCAAGTGATGCCAGTGGTAAAGAACCTGTCTGCCAATGCAGGAGACATCACCAAACAACTCAATTCAAAAATGAACAAAGGACTTGAGTAGACATTTCTCCAAAGAAGCTAAATAAATGGCCAAAAAGCACATGAAAAGATACTCAGTATCACTAATCATTAGGGAAATGAAAACCAAAACCACAATGAGATCCCACCTCACACCTCCTCAGATGACTACTATCAAAACAGCAGAAAGTAGCAAGGGTTGGCCAGGATGTGGAGAAACAGGAAATTTTATGAACTGCTGTGGGAATGTAAAATGGTATAGCCATTGTGGAAAACAGTATGATGGTTCCTCAAAAAAAAAAAAAATTAAAAATAGAATTACCACATGATCCAGCAATTCCACTTCTGGTTATACCTGCTAAGTCATTTCAGTCGTGTCTGACTTCTTGTGACCCCATGGACTGTAGCCTGCCAAGCTCCTCAGTCCATGGGATTTTCCAGGCAAGAATACTGAAGTGGGTTGCCATGCCCTTCTCCAGGGGATCTTCCCAATCCCAGGTATCGAACCACCCTCATCTCTTACATCTCCTACATTGGCAGGTGGGTTCTTTACCACTAGCACCACCTGGGAAGCCCACTGGATATATACCTAAAAGAATTGAAAGCAGGGTCTCAAAGAAACATTTGTACACCCATGTTCGTAGCAGCATTATTCATAATAGCCAAACGGTGGAAGTAACCCAAGTGTCCATCAACAGATGAATGGATAGGCAGTCCATCCAAACTGCAGAATGTTGTCCAGCCTTTAAAAGGAAGGAAATTCTTAAAAGGAGACCCTGCTTTCAATTCTTTTGGGTATATATCCAGTGTATAAGGCTTCCCAAGTGATGCCAGTGGTAAAGAACCTGTCTGCCAATGCAGGAGACATAAGAGATGTATTTTCCGTCCCTGGGAGTGGCTTGGCAACCCACTCCAGTATTCTTGCCTGGAGAATCCCATAGACAGAGGAGCCTGGAGGGCTACAGTCCAAGGTCACAAAGAGTAGGACCCGGCTGCAGTGACTTAACATACACACACATAAGTATAACCAGCTCACTTAGTTGTACATCTGAAATGGACACAATGTTGAAAATAAACTATACTACAATAAAAAGAATTTTTTTTAAAAAAAGGAAGAAAATTCTGATGCATGCTTCAATGTGGATGCAACTTAAAGGCATTATGCTCACTGAAATAACCCAACGACTAAAGAATAAATGCTCCTTTCGTATGGTTCCACTTATTGGAGGAACTTAAGGTAGTCAAGAACTGTAGCCCACCAGGCTCCTCTGTCCATGGGACTCTCCAGGCAAGAATACTGCTGTGGGGTGTCATGCCCTCCTCCAGGGGATTTTCCCAACCTAGGGATTGAATTTGGGTCTCTCTCACGGCAGGCAGATTCTTTACCATCTGAGCCACCAGGGAAGCCCTGAATAGTCAAAGCCGTAAAGACAGAAAGTATTGATAAAATTGTGGTTGCTGGGGCTGAGGGAAAGAAGTGAGTTAGTGTTTAACGGATATAGAATTTCAGTTTTAGAAGATGAGAAGAGTTATGAAGAAGGATGGTGGTGATGGCTGCACAATCCATGTCAAGTGAATGTATTTAATACCACTGAATTGTATGCTTAAAAATGGTTAAGGTGATAAATTTTATGATATGTGTATTTTACCACACTAAGAATATTTTCATAATAATAATTTTGTGCCTTTACTAAGGGCCAGGTGCCTTTCCATCCATATATCCATTTACTGGTCCCACTCACCCACCTTCTCTTCCTCCATTCTCTCATTCATCTAACACATCCTTCCTATGTGCCAGTCATCCTTCCACAAATCCATGTATTCATCTATACATCCCTCCATGAGTCCACCCATCCATCCAACTAATAAGAAAGCAATTGATAAGAACTTCCCACATGACTAGTGTTGAAGAACTAGGATGTTAAGAATAGGAGCAGGAGACTTCCCTGGTGGTCCAGTGGTTTAGAATCCACCTTCAATGCAGGGAATGTGAGTTGGATCCCTGGTCAGGGAACTAAGATCTCACATCCCCTGGAGCACCTACTGAGCCCATACCCTCTGGAGCCCGAGTGCCACAACTCAAGAGCTTCCATGCTGTGGAGCCCCACACCACAGCTGGAGATCCTGCATGACTCAACAAAGGTCCCACGTGTCACAATAGAGGCCAGATGCAATCAAATAAAAAAATTAAAGAAGAGGAGCAAATGGGGACTTCCCCAGTAGCTCAGCAGTAAAGAATCCACCTACAGTGCGAGTTCGATTCCTGGGCCAGGAAGATCCCCTGGAGGAGGAAATGGCAAGCCACTCCAGTATTCTTGCCTGGAGAATCCCATGGATGGAGGAGCCTGGCTGGCTGCAGTCCATGGAGTGGCAGACACAACTAAGGGACTGAGCACAAGGAGCAGACAGAAGAAGCAAAGTCGTTAGATTCCCAACCCCCAGAGTGGAACTCAGAAAAGATGCCCCGGGGACACCCCAGGGATGGGGAACCACCTCCTTTACCATAGCCTATTTTCCCATGTTGGTTTTCCTGAAAATTCTGATACAAAGATCTGGTCTCTACTGAACCCCTGGGGTCCCTGCACCTAGAATGTCATCACCTTCTATGATTCTGATGCAAAACAGGATGAGAGGAAAACCAGAGCAAGGTATGAGCGTTCTGACTCAGAATGGGCTCAAGGGAAAAGTGGACATTGAGGGCTGACAATTTTGTTCTAAAAAACCACTGAATAACCTCCATGAGAAGAGCATGTGCCTTTTATTTTTTTTTTATTTTTTTTTTTTGGTTTACCATTGTATTCCTGTGCCTGACATTCGGTTCATAGATCAGTTCAGTTCAGTTCAGTCGCTCAGTTGTGTCTGACTCTTTGCAACCCCATAAATCGCAGCACACCAGGCCTCCATGTCCATCACCAACTCCAGGAGTTTACTCAAACTCATGTCCATCGAGTCGGTGATGCCATCCAGCCATCTCATCCTCTGTCGTCCCCTTCTCCTCCTGCCCCCAATCCCTCTCAGCATCAGGGTCTTTTCAAATGAGTCAATTCTTCGCATGAGGTGGCCAAAGTATTGGAGTTTCAGCCTCAGCATCAGTCCTTCCAATGAACACCCAGGACCGATCTCCTTTAGGGCTCATAGATAGTAGTGGGTAAATAAATATTTGTTGAATGAGTGAATAGACACATAAATGAATAAAAACAGAATCTTGTTCACACATAGAGAATGTTTGGCCCTCCTGCTGAACCGCCAGTCTAAAACTGTGAAACCCACTTCATCAACCTCCTTGCTTTGGCCACCAGGAAACTCAGCACTGGGTTTTGAGATGAACGCTAGTGGCTTTCTTGAGTTGGGAATGCAGTTTTTCTCCTCTAATGTTATTGTTTGAAGTTAGTCTTTTATTCTGTGCTCTTGGTCGTGTTTGAAAAAGCATGGTGGCATAAACAGTCAAATAACAACACTCCTAGGAATTCTGACCATAATCCTAGACCCACATTTTGCAAAAGTTTATTCTCAAGAATCCCAGTGGCCCAGCTTCCCTGATGGCTCAGTGGTAAAGAATCAGCCTGCCAAGGCAGGAGACAATGGGTTCAATCCCTGATCCAAGAAGATCCCACGTGTCGCACAGTAATTGAGCCCATGCACCACAACTATTGAGCCTGTGCTATACAGCCTGAGAGCCGAGATGCAACTACTAAACCCACTCGCCCTAGAGCCCATACTCTGCAACAAGAGAAGCCACTGAAATGCGCAGACCAAGCGCTGCAACTAGACAGTAGACTCCACTCACCGCAAGTAGAGCAAACCCTGGGCAGCAACCAAGATCCAGCACAGCCACAAATAAATAAAATGAAACTATTTAAAAAAAAAAAAAGAACCCCAGTGGCAACAGTGTTCTGCCAAAAAAAAGATACAAATATATTTGAAAAATATTGCATTCTTTGTTCTTATATGAAAATCACAAAGACATGAGAATCATTAAAGGCTCTGACGAGTCCTGCAAAAAGGTTTAACTTGTGTTTGACTTCGAAGTTCTCAAATGTATTTGGCCATGAAATATTAACTTCACAAAACACCTTGGGATATATATTCATTCACTCATACAACACTGTGCCAGGTTCTAGGGTGGTTACTGGGACAGCAGAGGAAAACTGAACAGTCTCCCTGCCCTCACAAAGCCAGGAGATGACGGGTGTCAAAGGCACATCCCAGGACCCTGGGACCAGTGTCTGGAGGGCACTATTCTGGCTCTGGGAGAGAGGATGGGGGCCAGCTGGACTGGAAAGGGAGGAGGACAGCCTAAGGGTCATCTAGGCCCAAGTCAAAGCCAGCAGATGCCCAGGGAAGATGGCGGCGCGTGGGCTGGTGGTCAGCTAGAGGAGGAACCGGAGGCTCTCACGCTAAGCCCGTGAGGCCGACAGGGTTCAGCCTCACTGTGCGGAGTCCCCTCCTCCCTGTGGCTCGGCCAGAGGCCCCCCTAACCACCACCCCGACACCTCCACAGGAACCCAGAGGGAGATGGGGCAGTAGATAGCTCAGCTGCCTGAGTTTATTTAGAGAAGACACAGCGAGCGCTGGGCTGGGCCTTCCTGTGGTCGTGGGGGAGGCGCTGGTGGGGGCGGGCAAGTCAGGGGACACTTCCCATGAGTCGGCCAGTGAGGGGACGAGGAAACCGGAAAATCTCCCTCAGAGATGGCCCAGCACAACTCCACCCCAGCCCCATCACCCTCCACTGACTCCCTGACTCGTGGCAGTCAAGGCTCTTCTCGGTCCCCCCAAGTGACGAGGAACTCATTCACTAAAGTCAGCCGCTGCGAGGCTGGGTGACGTCTCATAGTCAAGGTCTTTCTGACCAATACCATAGGGTATCACTTATGTGTGGAATCTAAGATACGACCCCAATGAACTTATCTGCACAATGGAAACAGACTCACAGACATAGAGAGCAGACATGTGGTTTCCAAGGCAGAGGGGTGGGGGACGGAAGGATTGAGAGTTTGGGATTGCCAGTTGCAAATTATTAAATACGGGCTGGATAAACAAGAAGATCCTACTCTAGGGGCTTCCCTGGTGGTTCGGTGGTAAATATGGGTTCAATCCCAGGTCTCTAGAGTCTGGGAGCCACAGCTACGGAGCCCATTCACCTTGGAGCGTGTGCTCTGCAAAAGAGAAGCCTTTCCGCCAGAACTAGAGTAGCCCGTGCTGGCCTCAACTGGATAAAAGCTCACGCAGCAACGAAGACCCAGCACAGCCAAAAATAAAAATAGATAAATACAAAGATCTTTTTTAAAGATCCTACTGCACTTGCCTGGTGGCTCAGATGGGAAAGAGTCTCCCTGCAATGCAGGAAACCTGGGTTCAGT